TTTTCACACTTAAGTATGTGTATCTCAGGGATCTTCTAAATCTAGAATGGGTAGATTAGTATAGGCACAGTACCAGTAATAATGAAACCTCCCCTCACTTTGAAATCCTAAAAGTAGTTAAAAGTACAGGGTTCTAGCAGCCCAGTAATTTTACCTTTCCAGCAGGGGCTGTCACCAGGTGTTTAAAGTGCCTCATTAGGGAAGTCCAGAGCCATCCAATACCCTTTACTGGGTTTGCAAAATCAGGGATGTCATACTTAATCCGTTTAGATTTTTTTTTGTAAAATAAAAACGTATACCTATATGGTAACAACTTTGTTAACTTTACTTGTAAGCCAGGAAATAAAATGAATAAACAAAAGTGATGTGGTAACAAATTAGCTAAATAGCAGGGGAATCAAATCCAGATCTCTCAGGACAGAAGGAAATACCACTATGCTAATGAGGAAAGAGATGAGGCTTTTCATCTAAAGTCGATATCTCGTCCAACTGTCTATTTCTACCCTGGGCCCAGCTAGGTAGGCGGCATTGATTGCTCTTGTCCCATTGTCTCCTAGGCCACCACCTGAGTCTGGTCCCTTGCTGGTGGGAGAGAGTGAGAGAGGAGCATAGGAGTGGCGCATGGTGGAAATGCCAGAAACCTTGTGGACTCTCCACCCCACTCCCGCTCCACAAAACCCACCTGCATCTTGCAAGGTTGTAGCAGGTGGCTGGAATTCTAGGTGCAGCTGCTCCCTCCTCCCACCAGGGAGGAAAAGGTCGTGTGGTAGGGGCCAGGGAAGTGTGAGTTTGCCGTGCCCAAGAGCCGGGCCAGTGGAGCAGAGGCACGGTTTGGCCTTTCGCAAACACTGGGCCAGGAAAATCCAACCACGTGCTCTGGCCAGACGCCTGCCCTGTTCAAATTCTAGATCGAGGAAAGTGGAGGGTGAGATGACTACGAAGAACCAGCTGGAAAGAAGCTGCCACCCTCAATCAGACCAGCAAAGCAAAGCAGAAAAGGAATCCATATGGGTGTAGGGCCCAGCTAGACTACTGGATGGAAGGTGTGGCCAGGGTGTTCTTGGGTCCGAGAACAATAGGAGATACTGATGGCTACAGCAACAGGAGCTTAGTAGTGGAAAGGAAGAAAAATGGATAACAAAACCAAGACTCGAACTCCAGCTGGGAAGTTTGAGACAGAAGCCTTAACCACTATAGTACAAATGTATACCAGGAAACCACTCTTACCATGTGGTACCAGGATCAGCTACACTGCCCGGCCCAGTGCAAAAAGACAGTGGAGAGTCTTGTTGAAAGGCAGCAAAAAAAAAAAAAAAAAATGCTGTTAAAGGTAGTGAACTCTAAAGCTTTCCCCTTTCTTCCATGGTTTCCCTCTTGTCATAATTTTTTTTATTTGCTTTTTTTTT